GGGCGAGGGGGCACAGCGGGTCCACCGGTGCTGCTGCGGGCCCGGCCCTGCCTGGCCGCCACCACACCCCGTGCTGTGAGCGGACGCTTCTCCGGGAGGCTCTCCTGCCACCTCGACCTCGTTCTTCTGTAGTGGGGGCGGTGCCCTCAGGAAGGCGCCAGACCAAGCCGGCGGTGACAGGCGCTCCGTGTGTCCGACACGCGCCCTCGGCCCCGGGTTCCCTCCGTCAGGTCCCTGCTGCTGCCCCCTGTGCGTGGGGAGCGTGCAGGCCAGTGCGCCTCATCTCGGGTGACAAGCTGCTTCTCCAAGTAACATCCTGTGGTGGCAGAAGACTAACAAAGAGCTAAAATCAGGAAGGAAAAGGAAAAACACTGAGTTAAACGTTAGGAGTGGGTCAGCGTTCAACTAGATTTTACTCATTCCTGGATACGTTTATAAAGCTCTATGCACTGTAGATATTTACAAGAACTTTTGTAACATTTTGAGGAAAAAATAAAGGATTTATCTAAACAGGCTTGGCTTTACATTTTCTTTCAGATTTTACGTCGTCTCAGCGCCCAGTGACCGTGATGGGTGCGGACGTCGAGACTACATTGAAGACCAGGTTTGGTTTTCCCATAGGCTGGAGACTTACCGTTACACGCTTGGCTTTTTTTTTTTTTTTTTTTTTGGTCTGTTTAATCCAGGAGATGTTAATTAGTCTTTGATAGGAGCCATTAAAAATTCAACCTAGTTTTATCCAAGGCAAACAAAACACTTGGTGTGTGACTCATACGGGGCAGGAACTGGCAGAAGGCCTTTTGTTGTGAAACAAACTGGGGTTTGCCATGGAAACCACTGGGCCTGGCACTTCCTGCACCAGAGCTGGCGCTCACCCTCCTGGAGGTGAGCGGCTTACTTTCTGGGAATTGAGTCAGGGGCATTGCCCTGTCTCTGCAGAAACAACTTGTTATTCAGACCAATGTCAGCTCCCAGGAGGCACTATGGAAATGGAATGAAACCTCAGGTTTTGAGAAGTTACCACTCACCTGCTTCAAATCTGGCAATAAGTAAAAACTCATTTCTGGGTGCAGAGTGGACAGTTCGCAGCAGTCCACTGCTTCAGAACAAGAGGCAGAAAGAATGCAAAATTAACGTGCAGCAGGTGCCAGGCAATCCTCACCACCACACTGGAGATAGAAAGGCACTGTCCCCAGGTTGCAGACGAGGACGCCGAGGCAAGGAACACCAGCTTGCCCAGTGTCACACAGCCAGTCAGTGCAGACCTGGGACCACAGCGCAGGTGCATCCAGCCCGAAGCCCATGGTGCCTCTGCACTGGGTCCCACCGGCTCCCTCCCCATCTCCTAGCACATCCTGCCAACAGAGAAGTGTGAGCCCCTCACTCTAAGGCCACACAAAACAAGAGTTCTAAGTACTAGGAATATTGACTTGCATTTAAAAAAAATTGAAACCTATTTTAACCACTAAAAGCAATTTGGAACCGAGTTTTAAAAGTTCAGTAGGATTCTTAATAAATTCTATGGCTGAATTCTTTAAGATAGAAATTTCAGCGAGACTGCAAAAAAGGATAATGGCAAATCCCTATATCAAAAGATGTTTAGAAATTTATTTTGAATTTTTATCAAAAATACAAAGAATACAAGATTCATGATGATTTTTGAAAGGCTTGAAATATTAACATTTTGCTCTTTGAGGATACTTGAAATTGGCAGTAATTTAAAATCTGTACTAGAAAAAAAATCACACAAACATAAGGATTTTGTATTTTGCCATCAAAGCATCTTTAAGAGTTGAGAGATTAGATGAAACTGTTCATATAACAAGGAATAGTGAATACAATTTCAGTCCTTAAACCCAGATAGCTCATACCTGGGGCTGGCTGTTTTGAACACAAAAAATTTCAATTTATACCACAAATACCCCAGGACAAGAGAGATTGTTAACTTCTAGTTTCAGAAGTTCCGAGCCCAATTCAACTACCAAATACTTATTCGTAAAGCAGCCGCTCCCAGCAAGGCATAACAATTTCCTATAGTAAAAACACGAAGGGCATACAGAGAATCTTTAAAGACATCAAGGTTACAACATACTGTGTCTTTCAAATGGTGTGAGGAGCTGGGACACTTAGAAACCACGTGAATTAAGTGTGGATAGACTTGACTTAGAAGTGAAGCTGTGGACACTGAACACGTGAAACGCATCGCCCACAAGTGGCCAGCTGAGGCCTGGATGCCGGTGTCAGAAGCACACCCGTGAGGAAGGAGCCGGCCGGACAGCGTCCCAACCTGCAGCCTTGACACGCGATCTGGTGGACGGGGTGGGGGGTCACCACGAGGGAGCCCACCTAGAACCAACTGGAAAACTCACAATCATCTTCAAGTAAATGGGTGGATTTTGATGCCGGAGGATGAAACACCTTTCTCCCGAAGTGGAGACCCCCATCTCGCGGAGAGAAAGCAGGCCTTTTGCTAACACTGGTTTCAGAGCCCTGAAAGCTCCCCAGGGACACAGAATACTGACAGAGCAGCCTGTCTCCACCAGGTGCGTCACCCCTCGCGCTCTGTGCTGTCAACTGACTTCAGCGGACAGATCTAAAAGGTGATGTCCTGTAACAGATGTGAATCACTCCGGAGGTGTTTTGTTTTTTCAATCTTGTAACCATGCAGTCTTAGGGTAGGTGGGGGAGCTCCACACGGAAGTGCAGTGACGAGAAGCGCGAGCGGGCCTTCGGGGCGGCTGCACCCGAAAATGCCACCGAGCCGCGGCGGCCCCGCGAAGCCCCAGCAGCGTCCGTCCGTCCTCCCCACGGCCCCGGGCACCTGTCTCAGTCAAGTGCTAAGCGCAGGGCAGGTCTGGCCCCCACTGCCCTGTCTCCAAGGACGCCAGGCAGGTGAGGCGGCAGGTCTGAGTGTCACCACCTGTGCAGACACCAACTCGGTGAGCGGCCACACAGACCCAAGGGGAGAGGAGGAAGCACACGGGCGGACGCTTGTTGCGCTGCGGACGGGAGTCCCTCGTGCCACCAAAGCTGCCCGCCCAGAGAAGGCGTGGAGGTGCTGGACGGACGGACGGACGCCGGCCCGGGAGCCGCCCGAGTGTGTCAGGAGGGGGGCGGGCTCCCGAGCTCAGGCGGCGTTGGGGCCGGCGCCTCACTCCAGCTTCTGGCCAGCACCCGCGTCCGCGCGATGGCGATCGGG